ACATGGTGCGCGCCGCTCCGGGCCGTCGCCGCCGCTGCTGAGCTCGCCGGCCGCGCCCGGGCTCGAGCGTCCGAGCCGGGAGGATGTTTTCCGCTCTCAAGAAGCTGGTGGGGTCGGAGCAGGCTCCGGGCCGGGACAAGAACATCCCCGCTGGGCTGCAGTCCATGAACCAGGCGCTGCAGCGGCGCTTCGCCAAGGGGGTGCAGTACAACAGTGAGTGCGCACTGCGCGGCCCCCCGCGCCCCGCTCCGTCGGCCGGTGCCGGAGGGGCGAGCGCCGCGGCCGCCCCCGGACGGGGCAGCGGGGGGAGGGGGAGGGGGAGGTGGCCGTGGCCCGGCCGGCGGGGGACGAGGAGCGCCGGCTCCACCCGGGTCCGGCCGCCCTCGGGCCGCGGGCAGTGGCCAGGCGCCGGCGGTCTGCGCGCACGTTGTGTGCGGACCCGGGGGCCGGCGGTGATGGCGGAGGGGAGCCCGCCCGCCCACGGTCCTGGCGGGGCGGACTGTTACGTAACAGTAACGGGGAGCGCGGGCCCCTCTCTTTGTTGCGGGTGCGGGTTTGAGGAGTGGCAGCTGCGCACGCTCCTGCCTTGGTCGGGGGGTGAACGCGGAGGCCGCGGAAGGCGCCCCGGTGCCGGCCCGCGTGTCCCGGGCCGCCCCCGCCTCCCTGGGCAGGCGCGCGGGGTGCCCGGCGGCCTCCCCATCAATTATGTAAACTGCGCTCCCGGCGCCGCCCGCTCGCGACCTCTTCGGAGTTTTCCGTCTGGCCGGCAGGTTTGGAGGCTTGTGCTGCGCTCGGCTCTGGAGTGGTCATTCCGGGCCCTGCTCCCTGCGGCCCGAGACAGCTGCCAGGGGTCACGGAAGAGGCCGTCCCCTAACCCCGCAGCCCACGGAGAGTCTGCACCTGGGGTCCTTACGTTAGTTGGCACTGCTCCTTTTTCGAAGGAGAAGTGGCTCTGGGGCTGCAAACCCAAAGGTTGGCTGTTCAAAGTCACCCCCGGGTGTCTGGATGGGCAGCACAGCTCTGCCCACAAGGCCGTCAGCGTTCCCTGGGCTTCATCCGAGCCCCTCGGAAATTGGGCTCCTGCCTGTGCTCCTGGTCAGGCTGGGGTGACGCCGAGGGTGCGGGGGTTGTTCCCGAGCAGAAGGCAGGGGGATAGTGGGCCGAGCTCTCCTCTCACCAGCTCAAGGCTGTGGGGATGGAGGAAAACCTGCATTCGCACCTGAATGATGCCTTAGCCAGACATTGTCCCAGGAGCTGAATGGACAGTTTTGACTTTATTTCCTTCTTGCGTAAGTTAGGAGACAAAAATTTCTAGCATTTATTTCCCTACATATTTTATTTAGGGCAGCTGACAACATAAGCTCAGATTTGGGACTTGGAGATAAAATGAACAAAACAAAAACTGCACTTCGGTTAAGTCGATTTGACTTACAACAAACATGTCCTTGTGGGCGGAGCAGCTGGTAGGTGACAGCTGCCAGCGTTTGGTCAGCAGCTTGCCCCTCACACACTCCGACACTGTGGCACCAGGGCCCCTGTGACAGGTGAGAGTTGCCACTGACTGTCCTCGTGGGGGTGGATGGACTTCCTGTGGCTGCTGTGGTAACCCCAAGGCAGAGTCCAGCACAGCCACACCTCTCGCCCCTCTGCTGTGACGGGACCATAGCCCATGTGAGGGACTGGCACCCTCACAGGCCTGTGGTGCAGGGGAGAAGTCTCAGGACATGAGGAGCAGAGGCCTTTTTAAGTTAGATTAGAGCCTGAGGGTAGAAGTCAGCTAATTTAAATCGGGGTGAAGAAGGCAGGAGCCCCCTCGGGCGCCCTCTTCACTGCCGTGGCACACCTGGCTTCCTCGCATGTATCCTCATTTGCTCAGCAAATATTTATGAAGTGAAAGGTCCTTGCCAGGTGGAGTGTACAGTGCAGGGGAGGGCGAGAGACCGCAGAGCAATATAGAGCACTGGGAGGAATATCTTGGGGTGTCAGGGCTACAGACAGTTAAGGGGTGTGCCCCTGGAAAGCAGTTCAAGGTGGGAGAGGGGACAGGAAGGACAGGAGACCTGGCATAGCCTTGGAGCCTGGGGAGCTGGAGCAGAGGGTGGTGGAGTGTGCTGAGGGCAAGAGGCACACGGTGCCGTGGGTCCGAGGGGCTGCTGGACAGAGGAGCCAGGGGACCTGACTGCACCGCTCCAGGTGTCGAGGGTCATGGGGAGCCTGCAGTGCAGCTGTGACCCAGGAGCTGGGCTCAGTGGGGACCCTTTAGTGTTGTCTCTGTCCATCCAAGAAAGCTCACATGCCAGGGCCTGTGCAGTCACACACAAGGGGAAGACAGTGTGCCCACGGCTGCAAGCGCAGTGCTGCCTGGCAAAGAGCGGATCCGAACTGGGGACTGCGGTCGCGGCGGGCCTGGCCGGCAGCTGCGGAAAGAGGGCACAGGCCAGCGAGGTGCAAGGGAGAAAAAGCAGAAATAGATGATTCAGTAGAGTCTGCAGAGATGCTGGGAAGGGGCGGGGGAAGAGTGCACGTGTGTGAGAGAATGTGCGTGAGTAGACACGTGCGCACGTGTGTGAGTGGACATGTGTATGCAGGAACCTGCATGTCTGTAAGAGTGTGTGTGAGTGAATGTGCACACGTGTATTTGAGTGGCTGTGTGTGTGTGTGTGTATGAGATAAAGGAGACAGGACCTGTCCTGACCTGCCAGATCCGAGTGGTCAGTCCCAGTGGGCGGCAGACTGTCGAAGCAGATGCACCGCCGGGGGTGGGTGGGGCTCATCTTAGGAGCAGATGGGGCTGACAGGTTGCTAGAATGTTCCCTAGGCAGGACCAGTGGAGTTGCCTGGGAACACAGGCTGTTGAACAGAGGACAGGCTGCTGACAGGCCGCAGGGACAGGAGAAGCCACCTTAGGGTCAGTTGTGGTGCTTGGTGCCCAGGAGTCCTGCTCAGACCTTGGAGCTGGGAGCGAGGGTCGGGGGCCTGGACCCTCACACACCCACGTGAGCTCACAGAGCTCTGCCGCCCCCTGAAGCAGGAGCAGCTGGGAGGAGCCAGTGACAGGGCTCACTGGGCAAGTTGGTCATCGGAGTGCGGCCTTGCTTGCAGAGTGCTTTTCCCTGTAAGAAGTGGAGGCTCGCCTAACGGCCGTCCCTCCTAACAACTCCCATGCTCCTAACACGCTCAGAGCACCGCGGCCCGGCACTGAGTCAGTGAAGAGAGCGGGGAGTGCCGTCCACTCACTCCTCGCACATCTTCTGCACCTTTGCGGCTTCGACAGAAGGGCGGGGGCTGCGCTCGGGTTTACTGTCAAAGGCACTGGCCTCAGGTGACAGCCCTGGAACTCGAGGGCTGTGAAGGAGGGACACCAGCGTGAGAAAGGTCGCCAAGAGCTGTCAGCACCCAGCTGGCACTAGGGCCACTTGTGTCAGGCTCTTACCTGGCCTTCTGGGTCTGCCCTCCACTCCACTGGTGGCCAGGGCGCCCCTGGGAGAGGAGGGAACTTTGCAGCTGGCAGAAACGAGCCCATCTTAGCCTGGTGCCCCCCAAAACGAGAGTCCCTGGAAGGGTACTGGACAGCATGAGAGACAGAACCCCAGGAGTGAACAGTATACTTGGGCCTCTGAGGACCCAGGCGTTAGTTACATTCTCGGGACATGTGGTCACTGTGTGCGGGGTTAAAGGAGTCAGTGACAGGAAGAAAGCTTGTTTGTTAAATTCCTTGTTGTTATTACATGCTGTCAAGTCGGCTGTGATTTATGGCGACCCTGTGCACAGTAACTCTGAACACTCCCCTGTCCTGGTCACACCTGTCCCCATTGCCACACCCACAGAGTCAATCTGTCTCATCCTGGGTCTTCCCCTCCTGCACTGTCCTCCACCCTTCACAGCATGATGTCCCTCTCCAAGGACTGGTTCCTCCTGGCAACATGGCCAAAGGAGGTAAGACAGAATCTTGCCTCCAAGGAGCAGCCTGGTTTCACCCTCTCTAGGACAGACCTGTTTGTTCTCATAGCTGTCCATGGTATGTTCAGGGGTGGCACGTGGGGGCAGGCCTGACCGGTCCTCTGCTGTGACCAGTGACTACAGGGCCAGCATGTTCCTCACAGGCATTTTTCCCCCCCCAAAGGGAATATCCTCCTGGGAAGATGTGAAGAGCAGGGGTAACTGGGCACGTGGAATGGTACATGTATTTGTTCAAACAGAAGGTCTGGCGTTTGCTGTAACTGAGTGGGCTGGGAGGAGAGGCGTTGGAGCCACCAGCCTCCCCGAGCGCTCAGGGTCCTTGGAGAATGGTCTCTAGTGTGGCCGCTCAGCGTCCCACTGAAGGCCAGCCTAGCACGAAGGGGAGGTGGAAATGGACTGTGGCAAAGGCCACTAAAAACCAATAGGGGAGACCGGTGTCAGTTACAATGGCAGAGATGCTCAGCTGGCCAGCTGCTTGACTACAGGCATGGTGGGCAGGCCGTCCGTGGGAAAGGAGGGAGGCGGAAGAGGAGCTGTGGACACACACGCCAGGACAGTGCCACCAGCGTAGGACGAAATGCGGGGCAGAAAGCATTTTGAGGGCAGGACCAGGAGAAGGATACTTTTTCTCCTTAAATTCTATTTATTTTGCTGTTGAGAATATGCTCAAAACCTCCACCGGTTTAGTGACCCAGCTGACAGCATCCCCACCTGCCTTATTAACATGGACTCCGCCCTCCAAGGCTCCAGCCGATCTTATTGGCTGCTGTGGCCTTGACCTGTCCGGACAGTTGTTGAGGGAGCACAGTGCTGGAGGGGAGGTGCTCCAGAGACTGAGGGGAGGTTTTTGGTGTCAGGTTTAATCCCAGGACGTGGAAATCCAGTCCTCCTAGCACCATCTTTCTGCATCGAATGGTTTTCTCAGGTGTCGGTCAACTGTACACGTGGGGGCTAATTTCTGGACTCACTGCTGTTCTGCTGCTGCATCTGTATTAAGTGTGAGAAATGGGGGGAGGGAGGTGCTGCTTTGTTTTCTTGGAGCATCGTTTCATCTGTCCCACTTTTTCTGATTCTGTAAACAAGGCTGTTGGCATTTTGGTCAGGCTTGCATTGCACCTGTAGAGGTCATAGTGTTGACACCATGACATCGTCCCCCAGTCCACAGACAAGGAGCGTCTCCACTTAGGTAAGCACGCTTTAATTGCTTTCAGCTGTGTTCTAGTTTTCATTCTGTAAGTTTGTCACCTTCCTGG